CTGACATTTATTCAATTAATTAATCGGTTAATTAGATTATTATGGAAAATGTTAAGATTGGTCAAGTATTGGGAATTATGACCATAACAACGTACTATAATAGTGGAACAAAATTGCTGGTACTTGAAAAACCTTAGCGATGCAGGTACAGTTCGTTTTAATGAGGCTATTTAACTTCAGTTTTTGGTTTTATTTGGTTGTACATTCAAGCGCCATGGACAGGCTGATGGCATAAATAGAGGAGAGCGCAGAAATAAATGTATATATGTCCTCTTGCGGGGTGTCAAGTGGTCATACAAGAAATATTATCTGGCAACATTACCGAGAAGTGTGAAACATGCGTAATGAACCCTTTCCGAAATTCAGTCTCGCCACTTCGACCACTATCATCATATGCTCATGGCCTATATGCCATACTAATGGCGACCGTGTGATTACTAATAATGGGAGAAGCTGAAGATGCTTTAAAGTGGATGATATGCGAGGCCTATACATTCGAGACGTGAGTACGATGTGACGCAGGAATTTAATGCAAAAGCTGCGTAAGCGTTCATTATGTCGGGTCCAGTCAATCTATTGGCGGTACGTAATCAGCTTTAAAGCACCTTGATGTATAAAAGTGTATCATGGTGTCAATATGAGTTGGCGCTTCTTTCCTACCGCTTGTTTATTGTCACCATCGAAACTGAGAGAACTAGCGAAAGTGATAGTGCTCGTCAAGATACTGCAGACTGCTGGTCGAGTACCGCCATTGGTACGATAAAAGATCAACTGCTATTTGAGCCACAGGATGGCACTGAATTTCGAAAAGGGTCTTTACGTAAAAATATAAACGTAAAACAGCGGACTTCAAAAAAAAAAGAGCGAGGTGTATCACAGACTTTTCTACCACGATCACCGTTTTTGTTGCATATTTAAGTGTAAAAAAAAATAATAATAGCGAGATCGCGGTTCCGTGTTCCTTGAAAAGATGGCGTCCCTAAGGATTACAAGTATCTCCGCGGTGATTAAATTACGGATGTTGAAGACGATGTACGAGACAACTTCATTTGGGGGTCTACTTTAGATCAATTAAGAAATTACTCGGAGATCGATGCGTTAATCACATCATTCGCGAGGTTGAACAATTAATTTCAGAGCCATAATTTCATCATTCTATGAGTGCAAGTCATGAATTCAAGTATTACATGTTTTTGACGAACGCCTTGTGCAGTAGAAGGGTATGCGCTTGGGCTAGTTGGTGATCCATGTTTGTGAGGGTAAAAGCGCTAAAAACAACGGACGAGTAAAAGAAACGAACAACACAGAGCGCTCTGTGTTGTTCGTTTCTTTTACTCGTCCGTTGTTTTTAGCGCTTTTACCCTCACAGCCTTGTGCAGACGCATGAAACGCTTTGGCTGTAAAAATGCAGATCGTAGCATGAAATCCAACCCATGGCTATTCTGACTGGCGCAAGAGAAAGTAGAAAAACATTTTCACAGTTCCTCGACGTGTTTTGTAATTTAACTGTGGCAAGGACCGAGGTGCTGCACACTCTGACGCACACTGCAGCACACAGACTACACACAATCGCACAGCACACTAACCATAACACCATGTGACGTCACAGTGTTCCGCTAAATTGAGCGGAGAAATTTCACAACCGCAAACAAGGCGAAACACAGTCCCGGGATCCGCTGCGAAGCCTCGCCAGTAACGGCTATCGCCGTAAAAAGGAGTGCGTCCGGTCCGGGTGGCGACATCGGAATATTTTATGATCCACTGGTTCTTTACGATTCCGCAAGGAGCACGTGCATTCGACATTCTCGCTACAAGCTCCAACATGAAAGCATGAACAATCTTCTATCGTTACGTTATTTCAATTGTGTCTGGGTCGGGTAAGGTACGTCTGGTGTTGTGTGCATCATGGATATGCGAGAAAACAATAAATAAAGAGAAACAAAAGACAGGTGCAGCGCCTGCTGCTTGCTTTTATGCAATCCGCCACGGCCCCTGACCCAAATGTCTTGTCCAAGTTAAAAAAGAAACAAAAAAAAACTGACAGGATCTTTGGTCTGTTTTTTCTAGCTCTCGTGTTTCATCCTTCAAAATGTCGTTCATGCGTCAGGTATTTCACTCAACAAGGATACCGACACTCGATAACCGGGCAGCATATATTGCGTCACGTCATCCGGTAAAACGAAAGTTCGCTCCGTCTCTGGGTAATGGGAGCCGCCGTCGAGAGCACTGTAAACATTGCATCACTTCCCCCCCCCCCCCCCCTTTCCTCCCCAACACTCTAAGACGAACGACAAAACGACCGGCAGAAAGCCTCAACTTGCGCCACCGGCACCTCGCCATTTGTAGCCGAGTAAATCGATAAACTCAGGAGTAAGCGCCATCTTTCGCTATTTAATGAAAGTATAAGCTCGCAACTTAAACCGCGGCGCGGCAGCAGCGTTCATAACTACAGCTAGAGGACGCTCGTTTATGCCGCTCTCGTTTTGCGAGATGAGTTTGAAACGCGACGGCTCGGAGAACCGTTTTCGTACTGTAATTGGGGGCAATATTGAAATATGGCAATGACACGTTATTGGACAAGTGGTCTGTCAGATTATTCGTATGTCGTTATGCTGAATGTGGTCAGGCCATGGTTATTTGGCGTGGGCTGTACCTTGTGCGTAGCTAAGAAATGTAATTTTCTCTAGATTCTGCAAAAAAGAGAAAGCTACAAACTGCTGAGCTGAAAAGGGGGGTGCGGGTCCACTCACTTCATCCCAAGACACTTCATTCAGGAGCAGTTCATTCCGTACACTTCATACCAAACATATTTCGTCCCAAAACGTTTGTTTGCAATCTGTGTGTTGAAGTGTCTTGATATTAAACGTTTTAGAATGAAATGTCTTTGGTACGAAGTTTTCAAGAGGAACTGTCCGGGATAAAGTGACCTGAGATGAACCGAATATCTCCTGGAACGACATTATATACCGCGTAAACTCTGCTGGTATGAAAGGTCGTGGTATAATGCGTCCCTGGGATAAAAGGTCTCGGGATAAAACGTTTCGGAATAAAATGTCTTTTATATGGAGTGTCTGGGATGAACTGTCCTAGGATGAGCTGTGGTAGAGCTGGAGGGTGCCCCCCACAATTGCAGAGTAACCACATTACACAGTGTGTCGTTACGGGACGAATGCAGATGGCTACGTCAATGTTTCTTATTTCTCACCTCACGGGAAAAAATTCATTAGAAACCCAGGTGTGCCAACGGCTGCGACTAAAGCGAATTTTGAACTCGAGAATATTGGCGACGTTGAACATTCGTTGGTACAAGATTTTGCCATGGTTCCTACACGTTTGTCGCGTTTCATTACACACGATTTATTATTATGCTTTTTTTCCACAGAATGCAACTTCAAACGACTCTAGTCCCACAATATTTCAAAGCAATGTGCAGAACCGGGATTTACGTATTGTATCCATTCAATTTTAATCCCCTCCCGTACTTGCTGTTTTCAGGTTAATTAAACTAGGTTCATAATCCTCATGTGAATACAGCGTTCATCATATTATTAAAACCTTCATCTACAGGTAATTACCACGCTCCGTGTTCTTTACTTTTCTCGTGGGAGAAACAGGTAGGAAATATTGACCTATGACTCAAATGTTCTTTTCCTCCCCGTATTCCTTGATCGGAAATTTCGAGCGCAAATTATCGATTGTTATTGAACGCAAAAAATAACTTAACTTCTTTTTATATTAGTCATTTTTACTGCGCGTGGTCTAGTGACCCCTCCTTGAACGGTTGCATCGTCATACATATTTATCAAATCCAGAAATTGACCATATAATTTCAGAGCAGAGACAAACGTGGCTGTGGTCCCTTTCAACAAGGTCAATGGCCTCCGAAGTACTTCACAACGCCATCCACTTCAGTATAAACGGGTAGCGTGGTGCACCTTTAGCACCTCAAGTAAACCGCCATACTACTACACAGACCCGGTATATTCTCTGTGTCACACAACACCTAGCTCAACTGAAGACACACTGCCCTCGCGGATCCGTTGAATACAACGCAACAAGACAGCGAAGGCACAGAAGGACAGGAATGCCGAAGCGCACTCTCTGGGGGGCAGCGACAGGCGTAAAATTTGGCAGACGGCGCCCGCTTGCAACTGACCCAACGCCCCAGTAGCCCGGGGTCCCGCCGCGGTTGCATAATCGAGCCGTTTTCTCCGCCCTCGCTCTTGCACCGGACTCGGAGGGGGGGAGCCTTCCACCGGGCGAACGTCCACAGTCTTCTTCTTCTCCTGCTCATTCTGTCGGTACGGACGCCGACGAGCGATATATTTAGCCGCCGCAGGAGCGCCACCCGAGGACCGAGCACAGAGCAAAACTTCAATTCGGATCTCAATCCGGCAGGTCGGCTTCCCCGCAATGCACACAAGCCGTGCAACGAAGAGACATTCGCGGGGTGGAGCGTGAAAGATAAGCAGCGGGTTGGGGAGCGACGAATGCGGCAACGAGTTCAGCTCGCTCTCTCTCTAGCTCGTTGACGCTGCGTTCATTCATTCGCGGCGTTCACTATTCTGAGACGTCTTTGTTTCAGATGACGACTTCCACGAAACGAGACGTCCCAGCGGCCTCGTAACGCCGGCTCCCACCGAGACCGCCACCGGCGCCGTAAAACGACGGGACGCGAGCGCGCGCGCGGAGCTCGGGAAGGGGGAGACATTTCCCCTCTCACAACTCGCGCCTGTACGCGACAACGACCGCTTGACCTTGCTCGGATTTGTTCGGATGTGAGCGCTCGAAATAAACGCGAGAGAGGCAAATATGAACCGACGACTGGACGCAGGGAGCATTGGTCGGGTCGGTATACGCAGCTATGGTGGGGGACCATTTCGTGAAGGCGCTTACGGTGGCGCGAGAACGACGAACCAACCTAGCCCGCGAACCTCCGTCCTTACGGGGGTGCGAACCGCGTAAAAAAGGTCGGCGAGTACGCGGCAATGGGCACTCACGTGTTCGCCGTCTCCGCGGTGCAAGCTGCGGTCGTGGATGGGTAGAGTCGAGATGTCGGTGGCCGACGAGGCTAGCGAATCCGCGGGCGACGGGCTCTTGGAGCGTTCCTTGTCCGGCACGTGAAGGTAGGCCATTTCGTTCAACCTGAGCTGGTCGGTCTCCATGGCTCACTCGGGGCTGCTCGTCCCGCTGCCCAAGATCCAGAGGCGACGTCAATCTGCGAACGACTTCGGGCAGATGAATCCTCCGAGAGCGGCGTACACCGGGCACCGGGTTGGCTTCGGGGGCTCGGCGCCTGCGTCCTGGGTTCGGAGCCGGCGAGGAGGAAGGAGTCATCAAAGAGCGAGGAGACGGCGCACCTTGGTGCGCCCGCGATGGGGTCACGTGACTCCTTTGGTCACGTGACGGGGGAGAAGGCCAATCGGGGTCAGCCCGCCATCTTGGAGATTCGGCGTTGTCGGGGTAACGGAGCAACCGTCTTACGGGGGAGGGTAAAACAAAAGGCGCGTCCTCCTCTCGGCTGTCGGAAGGCTTGTTTCCTACAGCGTAATGACGTCACGCGGGGGGCCCTTGTCTTTTCGGCGCTGGAGCCTTGGCTGGAGCGGTCCGCGGAAGTCGCCGGAAGTGCGTGACTAGACCGAGCTTCGCGCAGGCGCACTCGAGCCACGCCTCCAGAAAGAGGGTGTGCGCGCCGAAAGGTCAGCGGGCGAGGTCAATGCGGGCCTTGTAGGAGGACCGACGCTACGGTGTCGCATGGAACTCCCGCCTGCGGCTTCGCCATTGTCTTCGACTTGGTCGGGGTCTCGAGGGCCTTGGCGTCACTACGCGTCACTGATTGTCAACTTGAGTGACAATGGACGGTCACGAGAAGGCGCGACGCTCGTGATCGTAGACTGTTTTGAAGGGGCTCGAGAAGCGCCTCGGGATGCCTGCTCGAGTACGCAAGAGGTCTCGATTGAATGGTTGCCGTGTGTCGAACGACAACCTCTGCGCACATGAGCCTGTTGTTTGTTGTTGATGCTGACACAGGCATGTGATTGTGCATACGATGGATGCTTGCCCTATAGGTGATGGTGCATGGTATCGCTATTGTTAGTTGAGTACGTAACCTGCTTAGAAAGACTTTTTTTTCAAAAACATTTTTGATAACATTTTTGGATTAATTGCGAGTACATATATGCTTGTGTTTTGCTTTCATTTTCGTGTTGTTGGTTGAACTATCTTCTTTTCCCGTAGCAGGTTGCGTCATGCAGGTAAGTGGTCCTTGTGACGAAAATTTAACTGACAAGATTATTAACTTTAGGATTTAGTTCGTGCGCATTTGCTACATCATTGGTTCTCGATTGTTCCGACTTATTTGTCTTACACGTAATTAATTTTCCATCATGCGTTTTCAGAGAACTGACAAATTTAATAAATATTAAGTTTTAGCTTGTGTGACCTCGTCGAATACTAATAATATTGGTTTCATCTCGGAGTGCACCTTACTGTTAATTTACGTGTAATGTTACATCATTCATTTTCGGTTTTCATAACTCCTTCAATTTACGCGAAGTTTTGCATCATACGCTGCCAGAGAATGGGCGAGGTTAATTGATTTCAAACCTCAGCCTTATGCGCACTCGTCAAATTTTGATAATACTGAGTTCATATCAGAATGCGCCTTATTCCTAATTTAGCCGTAGTGTTGCACCATTCAGAAAAATCAGATAAATATAGCACGTCGTTCGGAATATGCGAAAATTGTCTCATGCAATTTTTGGCAAACCAGCGTATTTACTGCATGAAAATAGAACATAGGGCTTCGCTAAAAGCGTAGATTTCTTTGCAAAAAATACCAGCTCCGTGTTCATTAAAAAAAAATGGTGTGAAACTTTTTTTATGTTTCAAATGTCGTGTGATTTCCACATATTTTTTCGCGCCATATAGGCGCAATTTTCCGTCACACGTTGCCAGAGAGCTGACAAAATCGATTAATTTCAAGTTTCAGTTTGTAAGCACTCGCCTATTAAGATAATATTAATTTCATCTCAAAGTCCGCCTTACTGCTTAATTTGGCGCAATATTACATCATTCGGTTTCGAATGTCTGTACTTCTTTTACTTGCGCGTATTTTTTCATCATACGTTGTCTGAGAACACTTAAGAGAAACTGAATTAAAGTTTTAGTGTGTGTGCCCTCGTCAATTCGGATTAATATCAGTTTCATCTCAGATTGCAAATTTAGTTGTAGTGTTGCATCATTCGTTTTCGTTTGTCTGAATTTCCTCAACTTACATATAACTTTCCATCATACGTTGCAGACAACTGACGAAATTAATTTATTTTATGTTTTAGTTCATGTATACCCTCACCAAATAGTAATAACGTCGATTTCATCTCAGACTGCACCTACTAGTAATTTAGGCTAGGTTTTACGTCATTCGCTTTCACTTTTCTTGAAGGGAGAGCGAAGGGTCTGCATTCGAGGAAACACACTTAAATCGTATTCATTTAGCCCCCAGAATCTCGAATGCCGAGATTGTTTTTCTTTTTCAATTTGGTGTATGGAGGCTGCAGAAAATCATGTTCAAAGTACCGCTGAAGTCCCTCCCTCCCGGAGCATGACGTCATAAAAGGAGTTTTCGGAATATCCGCTCTCTTACATCTTTAGCGCCTGTCAAAGCTATTCAAGCGCACTCTAGCTATTTTCAACAAGTTCAGAAACGACGTCCCGAGTGGTGCCAGTGCGGGGGAACACAGACGATTGCAAGCAGGGCGACTGGCCGCCGCCATGCTTCTGCTCGTACGCGGGCACGCCCATGCAATTGCAAGCTTGTCAAAGCTACGTTCACGCGCGCGCTGCACGTGCTTGCCCACATGGGGCACCAGTCGGGGCTCCAATATATACAGTAGTGAACAAAAGGATATGATATTTCGGTTTTATGTGGGTAACTTTTCTTCGAACTGTGATACAGATATAAAAATGGTAATGGAACACTACATTAACATATTTATAGAGTAGAAACGGATGCTTACTTAAATATGAATCAATCAACTAGACGTCGAGGAATACTTCTGTAAAAGAAACGAAATATCATATCTTTTTGTTCACTACTGTATGTGAACGCCGCTTTAGGCGGTCGAAAGATCCTCTTAGGACGTAAGGAGTGGTCGGGGGTTTTACGTGTCTTCTCGCGTTTAGTTACATCTTCGGGGAATACCAACATGAAATTCAGATCCTCGAGATAAAAGTGCGTTAGAATCAACCTCTATCTAATTTTTTTAAAGAATTCTTTTAGTTTCCTTTAAACTTTTTCAACTTTCAACTTAGGCCTAGTTTACCATCGTACATTCCCAAAAAATACAAAACGAACTACAACTCCTCGAAAATCAGGTGGACGGAGTCAGATCAGCCAGTTCCCCGTGGAATAAAGAGCGAAACCGGTGAGTTGATGTTTTCAGTCATATTTGAAGAAGAAGCTGTTTATAAAGTTTAACATTTCCGTAATCTATTTGTTCTTCAAACGAGAAAGCCTTTAGAACTCTCACTTCAAGACGCATGTATGTAACTGTAGCGGTGTAACAAGACGATCGGGATTCTGGAACACTCTGAATAAAATGGGCACGAATTTGTGCCTGGAGGAATCGCAAAGAATATAGAAGTAATTTTATTACTTTTTTAAACTAATTGTTGGGTAATTTGATTACTTTTAGTCTGCTGAAATTTGCAATGTGTTTTAATTACATTGCGTATTTATAAGAAAAGCAGTTAGTAATGTTCATTACTTTCTAAAAGTAATTTTTCCACATCTGTGAAAAAAATTAAAAGCATTATTTATATTACTGTTATTCCCTTTTCTCTGTCATTTGTCGCCATGGTTTCATCGTATGCCCTCTCTCTCTCTCTCTCTTTCTCTTACATTACGTTCTTACAAATTTTCTACCGTTTTATTTTTTTTTCTCTGACAGCTTTGAACCGGGTGACAATGCGAGGAGTAAAACGGGCGAACCCAGTGTTACGACCGACCCACTTACGTAACCGGGTTAGCACCGCGGTCGGCTTTCCGAACCAGAGCCCAGCGCGCTAACTGGAGCGCCGAGTCGCCACTTTTATGACGGACATTTTACGCACGCACAACCAATCCTACTAGAGTCCGCGCGCTCGCCACTTCCCGCCCAGTCTCGGAGCAAAAGTAAACTGAATCGACGGTCACTCGTCCGAGCCCAACTCAGATCGCCCACGGTTTCATTTTACTGTTGTCTTCCATCCGTTTTATTCGTCTCGAAAACGTTCGGGTCGGCAAATCTAGGGCGATGAAGTGTTCGCAACCTCGGATGCACTCGGAAGCGTATTCGGTTGAACGGTCACTGATAATTTAAGGCACGCCAGTCGAGCTATTTATTAGCTTTACCAAGAACGTATACTCGTCAGTTCCAAGTGATTGATTGAATGAAAACATGTATCTATTTAATATAAAGGTTCGCCTGTCTGTGACTCGGTTGTCCAGAGAGACTAGGGTTTTGGGCTGTATAGGAAGATGTGGATGGTTATGATTATGATTTCGTTATATGAAGTAATGGACCCCGGAGTTCTTAACGTTTCGGATAATCCAGAATTTTCTTTCTGTGTTGCGCCTGTCCCTTGTAGTAGATCCAGTCTTCTTGCTACTTCTTTGGTTTTGTCTCGCTTGATAGCAAGTCTCTCGTATCTTGTCTAGAGCCCTCTAGCCTCTGCAGTTACAGAATATATCTGTCGTCAGCCGCCTCGGTGGCTCCAAGGCAAATCTGACCCTCAGGTGGCGGGTTCGAATCCCGGCCCAGGCGCCCGGAATCTGACAGAGGATTATTGCAGATGCGGCGTCGTGTAACCGAGATCTCGGTTGAGCGTCGAAAGATCCCCATGTGGTGGTCGAAATTAATCCTCACGCCTCCGCTGGGGCGTGCCAGGTGCCCTTCGTCGGTTGGGCACGTAAGGCCCCCGAATTTGACTCTGACATATATGTCGTTGTCAATAGACCCCTTTCAAAACTCTGCTTTCTGTTGGAAGCTGTGGAACACTGATCTCTATTGCAGTAGGCTGGATCGCGGATCCGGAGCCTGTCGGTATCACCACTGGCGGCCATTGCTTGACACCAGGCAATACACTCAGGTATATGGGAGAAACACACTAAAGTAAGAATATTGAAGCATGTACGCTGTGCTCGGAGGCGAGTATTTTATGGTGTGCTGCGATCCTTACTTCGGGTGTCTGGAGATCGAATTGGTACATGTCAAACGTGCGAACGCCAATTAAAAAAAAAAATCAAACGTACCGGAGCACCTACCGCTGAGGTGGCAAGCTTGCTCTCGTAGTGGA